CTGAATCTTACTATGTATATTTTCCAAGCATACAACCTCTCCATAAATATTTGAAGAGAGGTTTCTTATGGAGTCCATAAATGAGTGAAGTGGGCCAGTTTACTTCATGATTGTACCTTACGTTGTATTCTTTCAAATACATGTTATCTTCACATCAGACAAATAGAAAACTTGGCCCAAATGAAACTCCATCTCTATCTAGAATCTCAAAGAAGAGAGTGCATGTGTGAGTGTACTAAGATATGTTTGCCCTCTCAAGTTTGTGAACAGAGATGGGCCTGAGGCAAGGCTGGAGACAGAAGACAAGGACCAGTCTTAGAAGAAGGCAAAACCCAGAAGGGATCAGAACTCAGGAGAGGACTGGGCATCCAAACTTAGACAAAGAGAAGTGAGGACACCCCACTTAGTACCCACTAAGAAAAGTAAGGGCTAAGAACTAGGCCTTGGGACATACACAAATGTAGGAGGTTAAAGGAGGAAGAGGGTGTGGCCTGAAAGAAAGGAGGAGAATCATAACAGTGTCATTTAAGGAAAGTTTGGGAGAAGGAGGTTTCAGGGATAGAGGTCAGAAGATTCAGGTGCTGCAAAAAAGAAAGAGGAATAAGATAAAATCATTGGGTTTGACACTTAGAAGTCATTGTTGACTTTAAAAACCTATGAGACCAACTAGGCAATGTGTATCAAGAGTCAGAAAAAAAAATGTACACCCTTTACCCCAATAATTCCATTTCTGGGGATCTTGCTAAAGGAAATAATCCTAAACTTGGAAAAGGTATCTGCATAAAGATGTTTATTACAGGGTTATTTAGAAGGGAAGAGAGTGCAAATACCCTGAATGCTCAACAAATAAAGTAAGATTGAACCAAAATAAAATATGTTCATTTGATGATATATTGAATAGTTTTTTTTTAAAGTATCAAAAGTACATAAATGAAGTATTAGGTCAACCTTTTTTTTTTTTTTAAGATTTTATTTATTTATCTGACAGAGAGAGACACAGCGAGAGAGGGAACACAGCAGGGTGAGTGGGAGAGGGAGAAGCAGGCTCCCAGCTAAGCAGGGAGCCGATCTCGATCCCAGGACCCTGGAACAATGACCTGAGCCGAAGGCAGACGCTTAACGACTGAGCCACCCAGGTGCCCCTAGGTCAACTTTTAAATACCATTTCCAACCAAAAGGAGTAAGGTTCCCTTAAAAAAAAAATGACTGATTATAGGTCTACGGCAGGGGAAGCATAAGTCTGAAATATTTTCTGTAAGAAAGAGAGTTAACTGCTTAAAGATTGATGGGACCAAGTCAAAAGGACACAGAAGCCTCTTTAAAGGGCTCCTGTTGGCCAAATTTGGGACAATTTGAGCATCAAAAAGTAATGAGTAATAATAGTAACGGATTATATCACACTGAATAGGTAGACAGAGAAATAGATAATTTTTGAGACCACGGAGATGAAAGAGAGAGAGAAAGAGAGAGGCAGAGAGAGAAGCAGGAGCAGCTCTTCTTTACAAGAAAATGCCAGATAATAAATGCAGAAGAAATGAAAGAATTAGAGTCACCATTTGCAATCCCCAACATCATGACAAATAGAAGGAGAGATCATCAATGGAAGCTAAAAACCATTGGACAAAACATTGTTGGGAGCAAATAATCAAGGATATCTCAGGATATCCCAACCACAGCTTACTTTAAATTGTAAAGGAAAGATCTGATGGACTACAAATTAACCAAGTGATCGAGCCCAGCGTCACCAGTGAAGGGACAAATGTGTGCTGCCGGCCTGCCAGTGTAATATAGCGGGAAGTCCACAACATCCCCTATGTAGTGGTCCTTTCCAAAATGTCTAATCTGAGTCAAATCAGGAGGAAACTGGAAAAACCCAGAATGTGGGACATTCTACATGACAACTGCCCTGGATGCTTCATAGGGATCGATGTCATGAAAAACAAATAACAACGATAAAATAGGGGAACTGGTCAAGATTTCAAAAGACTAAAGAAACTTAACAAACAAATGCAATGGGAGAGCCCTGATTAAATCCTGAATCAGGACAAAAAAATATGTATATAAAAGACATTTTGGCAAAATGGAAAAAATTTAATACGGACTGCATAATAAACAACACTGTTGTGGACATGTTTGAATGGCCCTATAGAAGAATTCTTTATTTTTATGAAATGGCAGCTGAATTATTTACAGCAAAAGTGTCATGATATTTGCAACTTGCATCAAATGGTTAAGGAAAAAAGAGAAAGGGATAGAGTAAATATGGCAAAATGTTAAAAAGTAGTGAATTTAGGTGAAGGGTATACAGATTTCCATTGTACTTTCTTTGACCTTGTCTGTAGGTTTGACATTTAAAAAAAAATTGGAAGAAAATAAAGTTTACATAATAAAAATGAGGGAAACTATGCAATGTTAAGTGAAAAAAAATAAGGACATAAAATTGTGTATACCACAATTATAGCTATATAAAAATAAGAACAAGAGAAATGATCTTTATTCATTTCAACATTTGTTAAGCTCCTGCCACACATAGACTGTGCACTAAGAGATGGGAGGACCCTGCTCCCCTACAGAATCCTGATTTTATGGTGTAATGCTTAAAATGGATGACTTTGCATCTGGCAAACCTCACTCAAGACTCAGAGAGCCTTGCTGTGATGACCTCACCTCTATACCCTGGTTCCTAGCAAGCTGCTTGGCCCCTATGAGGTGCTCAACAGCCCGCTTCCAGGAGTCCACTCTGGTGAGGGAAGAAAGTACATTAACAGATAATCTAAAACAGGTGTACAAGTGCAAGGTGTACACAGGGTATTAATTTTAAAATTATCATTTAAATTCTACTTTTATGATATCCACCCCCCTCCTCATCTAACATTTTTTTCTATTCTTTTCCAACAGGTATCCCCCCCTTCTTTATGCTGCTTCCTACCTCATTGCCGTGGCTCAGCTCATGCTGACCTCATAGCTTGGAGTAACCTTTTGTTCTTTTGCTTCATCTGCCCAAATCCTACCCAGCTCAGGTCTACCTGCCCCATGAAGCCTGCCATCTTTTGTGTAGACTTGATTGATTCCGTTCCCCTGAGCTGTCCGCAGCTTAACTCCCTACTTCTTAAACAAACGTGGCTTCATTTGACACCTACCATTGTAAGCATTTTACAGGTTTCAGAGCATGTTCATTGTCCATCATCTCCCCCAATCTTCCCACAACAGTTATTATGCCCTCTGCAGATATAAGGAAAGTGAGCATCAGTTGCACTGAGTACCTTGCCCAGAGATCAGGCTAGATAGAGCCTGCAACTATTGGACTCCTGAGTCGGTGTTTCCTACAATCCTACTACTCCAAGCGGGTGTGTATGTTTGGGGGTGGGGGTGGGGACCAGCAGCATCTGTATAACCTGTGAGCTTGTTAGAACTACAATCTGGGACCCCACCCCAGCTAGACCTACAGAATCAGAAACGGCAGTGTAACAGGTTTCCTAGGTGATTGTGTTCACATTAAAGTTTGAGAAGCACTGTCCTATGATGCCAACTAGAATAGGCACAAAGCAGAAACCCAACAAACATTTCTCCAAATGTTTTGACCTGGGCCCTGGGATTTCTAGGGGATTCACAGTTTTGCCATTACATCCTTCTCTTACTCCCCCCACCTCTGAGCCCCCTTCCCTTTGGGGCCTAATGTGGCTCTTTGCTCCCTCCCATGGCAAATGTGAGCCCAAGGGTGAGAGAGACTCTGAGGCAGTGCCAAGGGGGATGAGGATGATGTGAAGCTGCTACCTCCCCAGCAGAGCCAAAAGCAAATGTTGGCCTTTGCTTCAGGGCTACATTATTTCTGTGGGGAAACTGGCTTTATTTCTAAGACAAAAATGCCTGTCGCTTGAGCATCCGAGCCTCGAGAGGATAAGGAGTTTGTGATAGACAACATTGGAACTGTTTCTAGACTTGATTTATTGACTTGTCTGTTTCTATTCTGTCACTAACCTGATTGACAATGAAGCCTGGGATTTGACTCGAAGGGATTTCTGCGTGTGTGCACGCTGCCGTCAGGGCCGGGTGGGCCTGCTCCCAGCGGCTGCGCGGGTGGGTGCGAGGCGTTCGTGTGAGGGCTGTTTGCATGTAAGGAGGGCGTGTGTGGAAACGACACGGGAGAAGCAGGTATCACTAGAGAGTTGATTATCTGTGATGTGAGATATGCCTGCCTGGACTGGGAAGCAATGCAGTGGGAGCAGTTAGATGGGAGGAGGTAGGTGGGGCTCCCATGGTACACAGAAGAGAGGGGATTGTTACAGAAACATCTTACGGAACAGCCCCTTCCCTCGCCCTCCCTAGCTTTTCCTCTTGGGATATTTCCCAGTTAGGAAGCCTTGGGGGAAGGGAGGGGAGGGACGGTAGGCGTCCAAGGGCTGGGAAGCCAGGAGTGTGAGGCGCCGCGCGTGAGCTGGGGAGGGGGAACAGATGGAGACAGGTGCGCCCCCACAGGGGCACGTGTGGGGACACGTGGAGGATTCACCTTCAGTCCAGGATTCGCATCCCCTGCCTTGGGGTCGCCCACTTACTTCTCGTGCGTCTACCCCGGCTGGAAACCCGCACCCCCTCTTCTCTTCCCTGGCGGGGGGAGGTAGACCCCGATAGGGAGCGGAACCCCGCCCCTCCCTTGTTACTGACGAGCCCCGCCCCCTCCCGCCGCCCGGCGGAGCTCCGCCCCCGCCCCCGCCCCCCGCCCGGCCAC